ACTGGGCATTTCGCATATCTCATTTAACTCTTAAAGAAAACCAAAACAGTAGGCATTAATCTTGTTTTATATACATGAAATACAAAGCTCAGAGAACCTTAGTAACTTCTCCAAGATTACCCAACTAGTAAGTGGCAGAGCTGGGTTTCCATCTCTGGTCTACCTTCAAAGTCCTTACTCTTTCCACCACTTCAGTGGTTCTTAAAATTTAGTGCATGTAAGAATCAGAGCAGGAAAAATACTGCAAATACTGCACATATGCGCAAATCATATTGCTGATAAGATATATATATGATATATCATATATATCTCACAACTCAATAAGAAAAAGACAAATAACTCAAAAAATGGGCAAAGGATCTGAATAGACCTAAGAAGATATACAAATGGGCAATAAGCACACCAAAAAAATGCTCAAAAAATGCAAATCAAAGCCACAATATGATACCACTTCACACCTACCAGAAGAGCTATAATCAAAAGACAGACAATAACAAGTATTGGCAAAGATATGGAGAAACTGCAACCTTCATAAATTATTGCTGGTGGGAAGATAAAATGGTATAGCCGCTTTGAAAAACAGCTTGAAAGTTTCTCAGAAAGTTATACACAAAGTTCCCATATGAACCAGCAATTCCACTACTAGGTAATATACCTAAGATAAATGAAAACATAAATCCACACAAAAATTTGTACATGAATGTTCAAAGGAGCATTATTTGGTTATTAACAATAACCAAATAGTCCATCAACTGATGAATGGATTAATAAAATGTAGTATATCCATATAATGGAATAGTATTTGGCAATAAGAAAGGAATTGAAGTACTGCTGCTATAACAGGATGAACCTAGAAAACATTATGCTAAGTAAAAGCCAGTCACAAAAGACCACATATTGTATGATTCCATTTATATATACTCTATTTCCGTAGAGAGAGAAAGTAACTGCTTAAGGCTGGAGAAGGTGATGGGAAATGATTGCTAATAGGTACAGTTACTTTAAGGCAGAACAAAAATATTCTTAAGTTAAAATGCAATGGTTGCACCACCCTATGAATATACTAAAAAACTTTAAATGGGTTCATTGTATGGTATATGAATTATATCTCAATAAACCTTTTTTTAAAAAAAAAAAACTCTTTGGACCAGATTACCTTTAAGGTTCCTTTCTAGATATAAAAGTCTCATAGTATCCATAAAAACAGACTTCAGAATCTAATCCCCAGTGACTCCCATGAACCTACAGCTTACAGAAAGTATCATACAATATAGCAATTCCTCACTTGAGGTCAATAGACCTCCAGGTGTCTACAAAGGAAAGGCAGGTGCTTCTTGAGCCAGTTTCAATTTTTCAGAACATCTGTGAGAAACCACTTAGCCTTCTCTGAGTTACATTTTAAGTATCTTTGCCTTTGGCTGGTTTCATGTTAGTAGTTTTAAAATGCTGATTCAAAGCTTGATTGACAGTTCAATATATAAAAAGTAAAAAGTAAGAAAACAAATTAGTTAAAATGTATTTTTGATAGGCAAAATGTTTCAAAGAATGGGACCCATTATGAGTTCCTTGGTTAAAAGCTTGGGAAATACAAATATAGGGGAAAGTACACTCGTCTAGAAATCTGGAGAAAGAGCTTAGGGTCCTCCTCAGTATGATTCACTTCATCTCATTGCCTCAGTTTCCATTTTCATCTATAAAATCAACAAATGTGATAGTATCCACCTAACTCTAAAATTCCATGATTTTTCCATACTATATAATGACATCCTAAAAAATGTCTGCGAAAAAGGTAGTTCTTTATATTCTGGGTCCTTGCAAAGAACTTTCGTTACTGACTCTACTTAACATATCATAGAAATAAACAATACTAAATACATAATACTAATAAACAATACATAGACTTCAGTATTTAGAAACTTTTAAGTGACCTTAAAAAGCAAAGAGAGAAAAAATAATAATAATAAATTAAAAAGAAAGTAAAGTAGCTTATCTACTGCTTACAGCAAAAGTCAACAGGAAACACTTAAAATCTTCCCAAAGCATGGAATGTTCCTGATTAACAATAAATGAATTCTCTCTCTTTCCCATACTTTACTCCCAACCATCAGCTTCCGAATGCATCCGTGGAAGAAATGCATCCGTGGAAGGGGAAGAGAGCAAAGGAAAAATAACCATCAGAACTGGTCTCTTCCCTTCAAAATTCCAGAAGATTAGAAGGAGAGAGGGGAGTAGGAACTAGCAATAACCCAGTATAGAATTCTCCTATTTAAAGCTTAACGCAGTGGTCCTTTTTTTTTTTTTTAATTTTTTTTAAAGTCATAAAAACTTTTCTACTACTGATGTATTTATATGAAGAATAAAAATCTATCTGCACTTTGAGTGAATTCATACTAACTTAAATCAACCATAACACTGCTACAGGAGCCATCAGTGAGAAGGAGTGCTATCTGTGGGGTTTCACGGAGAGGGGTGGTGGGAGCCTCAAAAAAAAGAAAAAAGCAGGCAATATCTTTTACAACATAATACATATAAAAACCCAAGTTCAGAGATTTCTAATGAATTTTTAAGGTCATTCCACTTGCTAGAACTGACCAGAAACGCCAGAACACCTCATAAATACCAAGAGTAGGCAATTTTCAACTTCCAATTCAAGATTATCATGGAAAAAAAAGCAAATCATAAACCTAAACTTATATTTTAGGACGTAATATAGTATCCTGCTCACAACTATATATTACTGAAAGGATTCATTCCACTAATTTAATATAAAAGAACACATCGCTTCCTTTAAAATAATGAAAAATCCATTAATCCTTGTTGCACCAATAATCTCTGTATTCACACATTATACATAAATACAGACATACTTTGCATCAAATGGCACAGTACGTCTTAACATATCCACATGTATCAAAGTATAACACAAACTCAACAGACACTATAGCCCCTACAAATGGAGCTTATAAAACATCTCACCTAAAAACAAATAATGTATAGTTAAATATAACCAGTTACATTCATTTAAAAATTCTTCCAGCCTAAATAAAGGGTATAAAGATACAAAAACCAATAAGACTTAGCTCCTGACTTCAAGGAATTCACAGGAGGGAAGCCAGAAGCATGTGCAAAATCAATTCTCTGAGATCATAGAAAAAAAAAACTTGCAAACTTAGTGAAACCAGAATATGCCAGGTAAAAAAGTGGGGAAAAGCAAAAAGAACAACACATGAAAGGCATGAATTTAGAGAGCACAGTTAAACAGAAGTTCTGAGTGGCCAAGGCAGGGGGAGTAAGGAGGAAGGATGTATAGACATAAAATGGTAGTAATTAAGCCAAGAAAGGAAGCTTGCAGCTGGGTTGCAAAAGGCCCTACATGCTATGACAAGGTGTTTAGTCTTTATCCAGAAGGCCATGAAGAACCTGATATATAATAAACACTGTTTTTCACAAGACAGGAGGCATGGGGGACAATTGGAAGATATGAGAACACTACTGCAATAATTAAGATATTACTGCAATAATACAAGTAAAATGTGATAGGGTTAATAATAATACAAATAACTAGACAGCAGGAGCAACAACCTATGTCACCTTAACAGCGACTGCGTCTTCCTTCATACATTTGACCATAAGCTCTAGTACCAAGGTATAAGCAATAGAGGAAAAAGAAAAGAATGGAAGCAAGAAGTCTTTATAAACCATAACCAACAGGACGTAATAACCACTAACCACCCATACCCCACAGAAGATCATTACTTACACACTAGTTTCGCCTTCCTAAAAAACTGCTTCTGAAAATGTATTTTTCTTCATCTAGAGAATTCTACTAAAATACCTTAGTTCATTTAATAGATGTTAAAAACTGAATTCTTAACCATATAAAGAGTTTCAGGTATCTTGTCCAGGAATTATTTGAGTCTAAAAATTTCCCTGTGGCCATAAGAAACATAAAAAGAAACAAATACAGAATTAGAGTATTTTAAATAGAGTCAGAAAACAACGATCTTGGTATATCTATAAGACTGGATAAGAATAAATTTATATGCCTTAGTTAAAACCCTGAAAATATAGGTATAAAGTACAAATACTCAAATAGTATCTAAATCAAATATGGGGGAGGAAATTAAAACCTTTAAATTAAAATCTTTGGGCTACATACAATTCAGCTATCCAAACATATATGATTTTATTATAACATATAGTTAATATTTTTCATGAAACCAACATGAAGTTGTGCACCACAGGAAAAACAGGCAACTGATAAAGCTTTAAGACCCAATTCCAATTTGATAAATGTATTACTGCTTCAATATCCAAATCATAGTCCATCCTTTATCAAAATGTTTGTTAAAAGTGTCAGTTTGTATTATAGGATTGTTAAATAAAATAGTGGCATTTCTTTCAATAAAATGAGTCATACTTCCCTCTATAAAGAAAGATACTGATTTTTACCATGCCAGCACAATGTCATATCTACTACATTCAAAGTTATCTTGGTTATGAATATAGGTAACTTTAATGATAAAATCTGATAAACACACTTCCCATTAAATTTAATGTTCAAAGTTATATTTGTCATGTTCTAACCAATAATACCAGTCTCTAATCATCTGAGTTTGACTGGCACATCCCCAGATATTAACCATTAACCAGGGATGTTAGTTTAAAAATCTGTGAAATCATTAAGGTGAATGAATGTTACAATTCAGTAGAAAGATTAAATAAGAATTTCAACTTCAGTTATTATAATTTGACAGATAAACTTTTAAGACCCTTGTTTTTTCATAATAATATGTGTAGGTTATAGGTTCCCCCACTAAAGGAAAAAAAGTTTGTATTGTGTTAATTCTAGCTGTAATTTCTAGCTGAGTCAAAGCTCTAACAGCCTCAAAGCAGGAAATCCAAAAGGAAATTCCAGCATCAGTTCCTGGGGCTTGGTAACTCAAAGCTTCTTTGAAACAGAGATACAGAAGTCCTCAAACTATTTTCTATAACCTTACCTCATATCTTCAAGCAAATCACATTCTGCTTGATGTTTGGCTTGAAGTTTTGTCATCTGCTCAACTTGAATATTTTTCAGTTCTTGTGTAACTTTCACCTAAAATATATCATATATTTATGAAGGCCTTACTGTAACTTTAACCAAAATTAATAAATAATCATCATCATCATCATTAACACTTGTCAGAATATTACACCTCTTGCTTGAGAACAGAAATCCCCTGGAGAACAGAAATCCACTATTAGCCATCTAATTTTGTTTACTGAAGATACTTAATGAAAAAAACTAGCCAAATAACCTGAAACAGAGGAGAAATGTAAGTACGCAAGTATCAAAATTACAGATTAAAGAGGTGTAAAATAAACTGTCATCCAATTTCATGCACAAGCTCAGCACATATCTAGGACTTCATAAAGTTTTAAAGGTGTCTGTCTTTTAGTTCTTCCAAAAAGGATTCAAAGACATTAACCATCAGGAGAGGTGAGCGGAGTGTAGCCTGGAAAAGGGAGCATAAAAATATCCAATATCTAACGACCGAAATTTACGCAATCATTAAATTATAGGCATGAATCAACCACATGAATTATTCCATGATGGCTGCAGTCTCAGGATGATGCCCTCCACTCGCAGACAGCGCATCAAATCACAATCTCTTTCTCACAAAGGAGAAAGCAAAAGTGACCTTCCAGCAGTGCTTATAAGCCACTCTAGCAAGCCGGTCCCCGAGGCGGCTCCAGTTTAAACAGCCAGAACAGCAAATGCAAACTGGCAAGTGCCTCGCCTCGCCCACCAGGCCGGGACGCCAGGGTTCCAGGTTCCAGTGGGCCTGGAATCCCCACCTCTGGAGCGAGGCTACCTGGAGGGATGAGGGTACGTGTGTGAAATTAAAAAGGCTCACTTAACTGGAGAAACCCGGATTAAGAAAGAAAGAAGAGGAAGCAAACGAGAGTGAGTTGGGCATTCAGTAAATGCTTGCCTCCTCCACCCAGCGCCCAGAGTAGACTCTCAGTAACCATCTGCAGGATTAAGAAAAGGACACAGCCTCAGCCCCTGAGAAAGCTGGGTAAGAGGGCAGTGAAACAGTTCTCGAAGGGCTCAGTGGGGAAGCGCTGGCAAGCCCGGAGCACCCGTCACTCCCACCCCAAACCCAGATCACGGCGCACACGCCACGCACTGCCCTGTTCTCACTCTCCTAGGGACAGCACCACCGCCTCTTCGCTTCCTACCCGGCAGGAGTAGCGGGGGTAGGGGAAGAAAGGCAGAACTGGTCAATGCCTAATTTCTTGTTTTCCCCTGGGATGGGGGGCGATGACTGTTCCAACTTCTTTATGGCCCGCCCCGTGGGAAAAGCAGGCCAAACCTTAAGGCTAGGCAGAAAACTAATTCCCTGCAAATTTGCAAATGTGCGAGGGTGGCGACAAGCGGCTGGAGGGCTCAAACCTGGTGCAGACTAAACAATCACACAAGCACAAGGGTCTGCAAAGCTGCAGGGACTCCCCCGCCTCCCCTCGGTGCAGCCCCGAGAATGCACTTTGCAGAGAGCAGTACTGCCATGCGCGCGCATACACACAAATGCACACCCGAAACTCTTGTGAAATGTCGGGGGTCCCTGGCGTGAAGGGGACGAACCCCAGCAGCCCCTCCGTCGGAAAGGCACCTCACACGCACGCCCCCCGCCTTGAACCGGCGGCAACTCGGTGACAAGCCAGAGGCGACGGCGGTCAAGGCCAGTGGCGGAAAGGGGGAGGGGGCACAGCGGTCGTCCTAGCCGCGATCCTTGGACACATCCTCCCAAAGCTCTCAAGCCCCCCTGCTGCACCCTCACCTTCCTCGGCGGCGGCTGCATGATGCCGAAGGGACATCAATCCTCCCTCGACGACGGCGTTAGCTAGGACGAGGGGCAAGTGGGCCGAGAGGAAGGGACGGCCCAGCGGGCGTGTGTGTGTGTGTGTGTGTGTGTGTGTGTGTGTGCGTGTGAAAGGAGAGCCTGAGAAGAACTAGCCCCGGAGGGAACAAGGCCGGCGGGAGGCAGGAGGACCCAGGTCGGAGGACGAGCGTGAAGAGGAGGAGGAGGAGCGCGGGGAAGGCCTGGGGCTCGGGCGGCCGGGGAGGTGTGTTAGCGAAGGAGGCGGAGACAGCGAGGGGGCGGGGGCCCGCGAGCTGGGCGCAGGGTCTCCCAGCTCGCTGAGCGGCTGTCGAGGAGC